CGCCGCTCAAGCTGCCGAAGGTACCAGGGGGGTTCGACTCCAACCCCATCACGGCTGCTCAGAAGGAGGTCGAGGGGAAGCTGCTGCCCTACGTTGCTGATGAGAGCGACAGCGAGGTGGAGGTCTTGGAGGGCGACAGTGACGTGGAAGTCGTGGAGGGGCAGGGGTGCGGGGGTGCCGACGGAGAAGTACTTTGAATCGTAGTTCTTGGGATTGCCAGTGAGATTGGATGTTTTTGCGATAGTAGGGGCGCGGGCACGAAGTAGAGTTCAATCCGCCTAGGAAGTACAGTAGTAGGACGTTGGTAGCCCGTAGTGGTAGTTTGGTGTGATTTTTTACCTCGTTTTTGGTTTCATCTGCGTTTAGAATTGTTGAGTGGATGCCGTTTGCCGATTTGCCGATCATGATTCTTCAGAACGAATAGAAGAGAACAAGGAGTACAAATACCACATTTTTGAACATCGTCATGGTGCCAAGGGCAGCAGTAGCAGTGAAGCACGCGATTCAAGCTCCCACAGTATCCGGAATTTCCACCACAAGATGCTGGTGAAAGGGTATCACTTACCGCCAAACCTCACCGCACANATGATTCTTCAGAACGAATAGAAGAGAACAAGGAGTACAAATACCACATTTTTGAACATCGTCATGGTGCCAAGGGCAGCAGTAGCAGTGGAGCACGCGATTCAAGCTCCCATAGTATCCGGAATTTCCAGCACAAGATGCTGGTGAAATGGTATCACTAACCGCCAACAGTGTGCGGAGACGACGATACCTGTGCGATAATCTAGCAAATCATTCGGAACCCGCTTTTTTCACGCACACCCTGTGCCAAGACCCCGATATGTGCCGAGACCCCGACATGTGCCAAGACCCCGATGATTACGGTAGTTTGTGATCGTGTTGTGTCGCGCTCTATCGCCAGTGTACCTGAGGTGGAAGGCTGCCTTGCGTAACACAGCCTTATTTGTTGATCTCTCGAGCAGCTAGCAGCAAGAGTGCCAACGAGATGTCTCACGAGGGAAAAACATCACGAGTGTAGAAACACACTTTTCTTCCCCACCGAACAAACATTCCCTTTTGCCACCGACCGGGGTGCAATAGTCGTGACCATCCTGGCTGCATGTTTCCCCGCTGCCTTGACACGCGAAAAGGTGGCGACCGTTTCAATGGGAAACCCGAACCAATCTCGCCGCACGGCGGCCCACCGGGAAGCCCGCTTACCTCGAAGGCGCTAATGCTCGGAGCGGCTCTTGCGGCGGGAGGAATATTCGGGCTGTTTCAGCTTCGCCTGCTGCCGAAGTCGTGGGGTCCCTGGGTGTCGAAGATATACTTTTGGCCGACGCTGCCTTTTACCATGATCAGGGCGTTCGATAACTACTGGACCAAGATGGATGGTGAGAGGAAGAGAAGGCGTGTTTCTTTGTTTGCGGCCCAGTCCAAACCTGTGATCCGCTGCTGTTGTATTACCTTTTTCGGTTGCAGACGGACGAGCGTGTGACGAACCTAACAACTTTTCTTGGGCGCGTGTTCTCTCTGAGGGGTGTAGGCGATTTGTTTGCCTGTGCGCCGCTGTACGGCTACACACAAACCTATACAGTCGACCCCGCTTTAAAGACACACCACGTTTTCCCAAAAATTAAGTGTCTAAAATTCCGGAGCCACTTACGCACCATCGCCGGGGCCAATGAAGGCGAAACATATGTGAAAAGGTGCGCATTCGCGGCAGAAAGGCGACCACAAGAGGTGTTGTTTGAAACCTACGACACAAGGTGATTTGAAGGTCGCAACCACTGCTGCTATTGTGCTGCAATACATGCTTGCATACCATCGTTTGAATTTCCCCTTACTGTACCACCAAAACGTTGAAAGCGATGGTGTTCTACGACCTACGCATCGTACATGTACACGACGGTGGTGCGCTGGTGTTGATATGGGCTTAATTATTTGCTTTATTTTATTTTTTAGGCGTTGTCCTCCCCGTGAATATCTTGCCCAAGATCTCGCTATCGCACCTGAGAAATATCGAAGGTTGTAAAACGACACTAGGAAAATGTAGGTTACGCAGAAACACAGAGACCAAAAATGTCGGGAAAGCACAGCGACAAAGAGGACACCGCGCCTCCCAAAAGGTCAAAACGAGGCACAACACAACACAAACGCCAAATTCAACCTCACGAGACTTCACCCAAGGCAAACAACGAACGTTGGCAATAAAAGTGTTTTGCTCTCGAAACCAAAAACTACACCCGCCACATATCCCGAAGAGTCACCTGCACCTCCCCCCCCTCCTTTGCTCTTCGCTTGACCTGAGTTTCATGAGTAAACGAATGCACAGTCTTCGAACGAAGGTGCGCCGTTTCGCTGTACTCGCCGTCTCTTCCATGTGTGTCTAAGAGCGGACATCTTCGAGACTAGAGCGAAATACAGGTGCTGCAGCACATTTTCTGGGGGGGGGTCGAAGGGTGGAAAACCTTCCCCCCCTACCTTTTCACATCTGCGGGGCACCATGCTTCTGAGATTTTTTGTGTCCTTAAAGCGGGGAGTGTCTTCAAAAATGGTGTCTAAAAAGCGGGGACGACTGTATATGTATTTGCAATGTTTGGAGCGNAACGGTTAGTCCCCCCCCCCCCCCCAAAGAACTGGGAAACCGGATGGTTTCCGATGTGACCGAGTTGCCATATTGCCCTAGATCAATCTGCTTGGTGATAGTCCCGGTTGACTTGGCTGACCCCGGTTCCCCGTTCGCTTAACGCTCGTTGACGGCGGTGTCCAATTTGCAGACACGGTGTACCTGGGTGCAGCACCGGTTGGTTTCCTTGGGCATGCCGACGCTCTACACGCGAAGGGCGTCGTGGGAGTGATTAACATGTGCGGCGAGTACAGAGGACCGCTGGAGGACTACGCGCGGCTGGGAATTGAGCAGCTCTGGCTACCCACCGTGGTGAGAGAAAATCGTGCGTGCCTCCCTCCGTGTGGCCGTTCAGGTGGTCATGTACTCGCCGTGTACTCCGTGAGTAGGATGAACTTCTTCATACAGAACGCGCCATCCACTTGCATTTTATGCTACCCTCGCTCCCTGTATGATCGGTGGCGAAACCAACTGGAACATGTAAGTTGTGCACTATTGTAGTGTGGTTGGGGTTTGAAGTTCTCATACTTCGTGACACTAGCTAGAGCCCTCAATTTCCCATCTACCAATTTCTATTAGCAGGGTGGCGCGTTCTGTACCTGTGTACATCAAGCAGTCACACGTGTGTACCGTCCTATGGCTGATGCCGCACATGGCATCAACTATCATGCTCGCTTTCTCCCCCGTACCCGTTTATGTATTGCAAGGACCACGAGGAACCCGAACTGGCGGACTACTACCGCGGGGTTGCCTTCATCCAGAAGTGGAACAGCAAGGGAGGCAAGGTTCTTGTTCACTGCAAGGCTGGGCACGGAAGGTGGGAGTGATGTTGAACGAGGGCTAATCAGTACCGGAAATAAAACAGAACCCGGACCTCGCTAGACTGCAAATCCAGGCGGTCTCGGCGTTGTTTCTTAAGGGAAGACTAAAACCCTTTCTGTTTCACTTGTCTCGAGTTCTGCACCAAACGTTGCTGAGCGGCGTGTATTGATGGAGGTTTGAGACTTTGCTGTCGGTAGGGGCCGCTTTTAGCTACTGAGGTTGGCCAGCGCTGCCTCAAAATCCAACACGCGCGCCGGGCGCCGCCGCGACGCCCTATGACTCGTGGCTGTTCCAAGCGGACAGCGCATTCTCCGAGACAGAAACCATCGCCGTTGCCGCCGCCCTATCCTGTGTGTGCGCTATTATGCCAGGAGCTCCGCGATTGTGATGGCCTGGCTGCTGGCCAGCAAACGGAACACCACGCCTCTGGAGGCGAGTCAATTCCCGCGCACCTGAGGGTATTATCGATCGCCCTTGGGTTTGTTAGGGGTCGTGGAAGCATTCCCCCGGCCACCTAGGCACCTTGGTCATCCACGCACCGTTGTACCGTCAGCTGTTATTTTTTCCGACAGCAATAATGATGCTTTCGAAGTTGGAGCGTGAAGAAGAACTTGTTGTTCGGCTTGTGTAGGTAAGCAATATTTGGTAGGCTTGGTACAGACGGCCAAGCGGAGGAGAGGGCTTCTGTCACGGGCATGGTAACCTTTGCCAGCGCGAGTTCTCTCGTTCCTTGCTGCCTTTTGCGGTGCCAGAAGATTCCGCCCCCTTTCTCCAAAGCGCTTGTTCCTGTTGCTCCTTCTGTGGTTGTTGCTGCTGCTGCTGCCACTACTTGTGCTGCTGCTGCTGATGCTGGTGCTACTGTTGCCTGTGTATGCAAAACTCAACCGTTCTGGCCTGCACCGGGTGCCTCCTCATTCTTTGCGCTCTGGTGCACCAAATAGGTGCAGCGACAAATGTCGTCCAAGCGGAGGGTACGCACGTACCTCTACAAGCAGCTCAACTTGCGCTTGTTCTACCGGGGCCTCCAGACGTCCGCCGATGGCACCGGGAAGGACCGAGAAAACGTTGCTAGATAGCACTGCTTTATTCAGCACCCCCTGACGGGCGACAGCTGCATGGGGGTTGCAGTTTCCTAATCGACGCCCGCTTGGAACAACAGCTGCGGGGGAGCTTCGATTTATCTCCCCGCCCCAACGAATGACAGAGCTGTGGGAAGGTTTTGGTTTTGTTCTGTTGCCTGAGATTTGCCTCTCCCCTATTCTTGAGCCCGCAATACCTGTCTCGGGGTCTACGACTGGCACTGCGCTTTCGAGGAAGTGGCGAGGTGTGTGTGTGTGTGTGTGTGTGTTTTCGTCCCATTTGTTTTAGCGCCAGTCTACACACCTCTCGTGCATTTGTTTGACGTGTCAGCCGGGTTGCACGAACAAACCTTTCTTGCACACCTAATAGGGACCGCCACAGGGCCTGGATGGGGGGGGGGGGCGCTGTAAAAGCAACATCCGACTATTTTTTGACTTTCAAGTGCTACACCAATGATGTTGATTGTCCGAAGGAAACTTGTCGTCAGAGGTAGGCATTGTTCTCCCTTTTATTCGTGCACCGTTGGACGTGCCGAACATATTTCTGTTTTGCAGCATTCTCCGCTGTACCTCCACCCTTCGCACGCGTCGCAAGAATCGGGAGGGGAAGACGGACGAAAGCAGTCTTCACATGTGGGTTTGGAGCGTACAAAGCTGACTGCAGCACGACCACCGTTGCAATACAAAGTCACGAGAAAGCTCGTACAACCTGCTGTGCTCTGCTCTTCCCAGGTAAAAATGGTGTTTGCACGGGCACTGTTGTAGCTTGGTGTGCGCGCTCGCACGCAAGAGACTGCTGTACAATGCTCTTGGTCGGCGTGTCTCATACATAGGTTTTCAGTGTCAGAGGTGGAGCGTTTTTCTCCTCCTTCGGTAGGACTTTCAGTTGTTTGACATGAGACTGCCCACGGCTGTGGGCGAATCGGGTTTACATTGTGAAGACTATCGAAAAAGTTGCTCTTTGCGCCCTCTCTTCGTTTTCTTATCGCAAACCTGCTGCCTGCGGCAAGGGAGCATTGCATTTAAGTTTTCCATGCCAGTCATTGACTGCTGGCGAGACTCCACACGCCATGCAGCAGGTGCTACAGCAGTGCCGAGCGCAACACTACGCAAGCGTGTGTGGGTTGCTACTGCTGTGAAAATAACATTGGCATGATCGTTGAGCGAGTTCCCACTTGTAGCGAATAAGGCGAGATAGATGGGAGCAAAGACAGCCCTGGGTGTCCCGGTCTATTAATCTTGCGCGTTCAAGACACATTTATCGTACACTTCGAAATCAACGGTAGATAACTTTCGTGTAGGGAGCTCGTACCCCCCTCAAGTGAACGGCAATACTTGCGAGGGATGCCATCAAGTCGAAGAACCTGAAATTGCACGCCATCCAAAAAACAGCTGCGAAAAAACACCAGGGGCGGGGGAACCGCCGTCGATAAAGCAACCACAGCATACACGTGCAGCAGCAAGCGGCCCGCCAAGAAAGCTTGGCCACTATACCCTCTACAACTTGAGAACATGGCTCCGACTAACACGCCATCTCCTCGGAGCGTGGTGGTGCTCACTGCGCATCAGCTACAGCCCCCGAGTACAAATACGCCATGCCAGTTCGGATTGCGTACCTTCCTGTCCAAGCTCTTGCACTCATGCTCTTGAGGTTTGTTCGGACCTTGAAAAAAACATGTTGTATCCGAAACGAGTGCTCAACACGTGCTACCCTAGAACAAGACCCCGACGCCAACGAAGGTACTTCTTTTCCACATCAGTCAAGGACACAGGTTGCAGGTCGCCACACGCGGCTGGCTGACTCCCGCTACCCGCCAGATAGACGAGGAGATCAGCACCCCCTCCCCACGACTCCCACAAAACGCTGCTGTCCTCGCCTTTCCTTCAGGCTCCATCGTTGGTAACCTTCACACCATTCCCTCTCCGCTACCTCTCCACTCACAACCTTGCTCCTTTCTGCGCTCACTTATTTCTGCAGTGCAGGACATCGGACAAAACGGACATGAGCGTGACATCAGGTTCATTTGCGGGGGTGGATTTCGGACATGGAGCCAAATGTGTGTGGGAGGGTCAAGAGCAAACGTGTGAGCAAACGATGCCAACATTGCAGCCTTTTCGCACAAAAAAATCTGAAAACATCACAGACGAAGGACGGCCAGAGGTGCCCAGGGAAATACACAAGTCGGCCTTCACGTTCGGTGGAGTGGAGGATACTTGGGACAGGGGCCACTATTTAGCTACAGAAATTCCACGTAGAGCTGACCGATGAAATCAAAATAAGAAAAACGACAGGGACAAGAGAGCGAGGATCGCCAGCGTGGAACTTCACGCAATTCTACCCGCTGCGCACTGCGGTGCGTCCCAGCAGAGGCCATCTAGATATCTCCTATCAAAGTAGGCACGCGGAATCGATGCGGAATCGATGCGGAATCACTGCTTTGGTCCAATAGATCGAACTGCCATAGCCGTGTGAGTGTGTCAACTCCCACAACATCTTTTCTTGCACAACGCGCATATACTGCGCACAAACCGAGATTCAAGATCAGCAAGAACAACGCCGCTGCGGCGGTGGCCAATACCGGTTTTCACTGTCTAACATCTCGCTTTCTTGCACGTGATGCCTGCACCGTCAGAGTAGACGCACAATCAGGAAGCGGCGAGTGGCCATGTACTATGCACTACAATCAATCCTACACCTAGATAGAAAACGTGTGTTCGGCTCAGGACCATTTGAACCCAAAAGCTACCGCAACGACACACGAAGACGAAGCACGAACTACAAGATGCGGGTGCCTGGTCTTGATAGCTCGGCGGTCTAACGTTGCTCCTGAAATATTTTTTCAATATTTCTACAATGGTGGGCAAGCCAATCTCCTTCGATTAAAAGAACAAAACAATACATACTACCCTGGTAAAATGACCAACCTGTGACAACAGTTTCGCCCCGACTGGGTGATAGGCGCTGGAATATGCACCGGGGAGACGTCAGCATGGGTGCTAGTGTGAAGGTCCATTATAAACACCAACACCTTACTCACGTGGGGACTTGTACCATCTCCTGTATACATACTTCCTTCAGGTCCGCGAAGAGCTCCTTCGTGGCGGGGTCCCACACACTGTCCTTCGTCTCCCCAGGCGGCGTGATGAGCACACACGACGTCGGGCGCTTCGTCTTCGCTGCCGCGCCGAGGTCCACCTTGGACGGTACGTAACTGTTCCGCGGAACGTTCCGTGAGATGCACGAAAACAGAAGCATACCGAAAGAAAGTTAATTAATGGATCTCAGAAAACATTGCCCTGTTCAGCAGAACTTGAACTGCCTACTCTCGCTGAAGGGTTGTGGGGGAACAGCTGACTGGGGTATCAGCGTCATTGAAAGCGAGAGGATTTCGTGAGGAAGGCGTCTGAAGACCCAAACAACGTTTGAACGTAGGCATCCACGGAGGGCAGGTGTTTATTTCATTAAGTTGCTGCTGTGTGTCCCTTGAACGTACTTGCCTCTGGTGAAAGAATGAAGCAATGTGGGATTTACGATCGTGCGGTGCACAAGGCGTGTGTGTCGTGTGTTTTCGTCCTATTTGTTATGGCGACAGTCCCCCCATGTTTCAGTGTATGTAGAGCACCACACTTTTCAGTGTATTTTTTCGTACACCTACAACCATCCAGGGTCACACAGGAGGGGGTAAACATCGGGGCTAGGCGTGTACACGAGAAAATCAACATCCTTGTCTACAAACAAGGCCTTGGGAACTAGAAATATCGTGAACATATATCCTCTTGAAGCACCGCTGCATGTTGTTGCGTAACCCGAGGCTTATTGTAGCGAAAGATTGCTGCGCGCCGTGGGTAGCTCTCACATGTAGTCCACCCCCTGCTCTTCGCAGTAGTACGCCATGTGCGAAATCACGTCGATCGGGGAGATGTCTCCCGCGATGACGCAGATGCCTTTCCTCCCTTGCCGTATCCCTTTGCAAACCTGGGAGGTCCCAAGCAACCATGGAACGCCATGGTACAGTAGTTAGCAAAGGTGGACGGTATGCATACTCAACAGTAGTATTTGATTCGCCAGACCCACCATCGTGGGGTCGCGGAACAGACACACCCCACGGCGGCCCTCGGCCAGTGGATGCTGTCTTACTAGTAATAAGGGTCGGCGGCTGAAAAGATGACACCGAAATCAAGAGCATTCCAACAAAATAACCAAAATGACAGCACTTGGAGCAGCACTTGCGTGCTTTCCAACCGGCGGGACGATGCGCGTGCCTTAAATGCCCCTGTACGTTCTCCAGGTCCAATATCGGCTTGGCCGGGATAGTTTGCCGCGCCGCGCGCACAGCGGTAATGATACAACACAGGACAGTCGTAAGCGGGTGCAGCTGAGAGGCTAACGTCCCAAGGTGCACGTTTCAAGTTCATAGATGCTCCCTTCTCCATCGATTTCCGGGGAGTATGATATCCTTGTACATACTGCGCTTGACACGGAGATGACCATTATCGAAAAGATTCAAAATTTATACATATCGACCGAAGCTCTTTTCGCAAGGCCTGGCTGTGGAGGCGGCAGCGGGCCCTACGCGATGCTTTCCATGCAGTACGAAATACTTGGCGCGCTTGGCTTACCTCCTTCACCCCTCTCCGGCAGATCTTCTCCTTGGCCGCCTTCTTGATTAGTTTGTAGAACTTCTTCGTCTGCACCGGTGCGCAGAGACGACGGCGACGCCCACACAAACGCGTAGTAGTTTAAATGTTTATTGCGGTGTTCTTCGAAGACCAAACATGGGAAATTCATGACCGGACACGGATGCTACAAATCTCGTGTACCTAGTTCACACTCGCGATATGTGCAATATTTACCGGTTTGCCAGAGCACAAAACGAATCCGCCCATCTTATTGGTCCCGTCAGCAACGCTCGTTCTTACTCGTCAGTGCCGGGCTGCTGGATGCGCTAGCTACTGCTGCTGAGGTCGACATACAACAGCGAACAATTCTCGGCTGAGACGAACAATCAGAGACGCCTGGTGCGCCAGCAAAAGTGGGAAGTAGTTTTGTTTCTACGATAGGCGTCTCCGCTCTCCGTCATCGGTGCCGCCGGCCGTTACACCACGACGATCACAACACAAGGGGCAAGGGCAACACAACCTGGCATACAACGTGAGGATACATCGAGGAGCAGCAGGGTCATCGCCGCCGCTGCTGCTGCAGCTCTCACACCTTCTTCTCGTCTGCCATGGGCTTGGAGATAACTGTGACGGCCTTCATCCGGACCGCGTACGGCACCGCGTCGGTCTCCCCCTCCTTGATTTTGATTTCCTTCGATGTCTTTCGCCTCTTGGGCGACTTGGCCCTGTCCTCCTTCGTCATGGTGGTGCTGCAGAAGGTTAGCGCAACCGAATCCACACGGAGAAAAAGGTTCCAGGGCACAGGGAGAGAGAGACGTGGTAAACATATTTCGCAAGATTTCCTTCTCCCCCGCTCTGATTCATGCGCACGAAGGCACTCGCGTGGCTGAAACTGTACATAAAGCTCCGACTGCTAAGCCTGCTCTGTCCTCTCTCCGCCCTGTGGCCATCCGCTTAACATGTCGTCCAAAAAGTACGGATCGCCACCACAAAACACGCAGCTCATTTCCTCACGAAGACTGCAGCATAGGCAAGAAATCGCAGTTTCCCATTCCCTCACCTTTAAAGCGCGCTGCCTTTGGTTCCTGGTAGCCGTATCGTAAAGAGAGCGAGCGAGCAAGGCGTGCAGCAACAAGCACGGACGGACAGCAGCAGGAGCCGCTCCTCCTGCTCCAGGTGCTGTGTTGCGGAGATCTGGGTTTCATAACCAATCTCAGTGTTTTTCTTTGGTAGGGATATTTTCAAATATTTTCGATGTTGTCCCCTTCTGTGTCCCCGATCCCCGCCCCACCACTCAAACCTGTTAGCAGGACTTGGAACCTCTGGAACATCTCGGCTCTCTGATTTATTGAACATAGGGCAGGTTACAATAGCCTCGCCGTCTCTCAGCAAGAGCGGTGGAAGTAGCCTCCGTTTGGGGTTGGAGGGGTGGCCCCTCTGTCGACATCCCGCAAGAGGAAGAGAGAGTATGGGAGGATTCGTGAAGACAAACAACAAGGGCGACACGCAACAACATGCCGCCACCGCCGCCACCGCCGCCTCCGCTGCCTACAGGGCCGGTGGCAGGCAAAAATTCTGCTGCGGGTGCTGCAGAGTGAAAACGCTTGATACCGTCGCAACTTCGCGGGTAGTGTCCGCGAGATCACTTCTGGTCTTTCGCGTTGGGGTGCTCCTCATTCTCGTGGTCGCTGGGACCTGGCTGACCTGGAGGACCCGCGACAGGCCGCTGTGCCTGCCGGACTGGAGCTTCGTGTCGGCAGTCCTGTACTTTGTGGTGGGTCGAATTTTAGAAAGTGAACACCTCACAGAAAAGACTACCCGTTCGGCATATAATCTCAGTCGAAACGGATGTCTATTTTGTGATTCGTGGCAAGTAATCAAAATTCCATTGACCACGGCGTTTGTTGAGTTCGAGAAAATATATATTAGCCTGTGGACTACGCAAATAGAATAGCATAATTCCATTTTATTTTGGTATACCTTTTCTAGGTACGTTAGCCTGTGACCACGGAAATTGGCCGAGTCAAGTGATGGATTAGTACGGAGAGATTGAGACAGAAGGAGGTACTGGATAGAGAGACCGGGATGGTTTTTAATGTGAAGACAACAACAACAACAATTTATTTACGTTGAACACGACTAAACTGCGAGAGGATTGATTGCCGTCTGGGTGAGTGTGCGGTATCAATGTACCTTCGAGCAACTTCGTCCTAACAGAACAGGCAACTTCTTCGTTCCTCCCCTGATGAAGATCCGAATGGTGGTGGTGTTTTGATAACGAAAGACACCAAAAACTGGCGCGTTGCGCCGACCATCAACCAGATTCCTCTCGCCCTTGGCATCTTTCTGGTCTTCAACCCCCCACCGGTGATCATCGACCCGATGTGTGCCGACGCTGGATCAAGGGTCCTAGCGAATGGCTTCCAGTTCATTCTCGTTAGTGCCAGCTTTGACTGGCCAAACTTTGTCCTTTTCGACATTTACGTCTCTTCCAATAAGTTTGTTGCGGTACCCACATACAGCAGCAGTGGCGCGTGCTCTGCTGGCTCCGACGTGACCACCAGAGCGCGGTTTCGTGGTGAGGCGTGGGAAGAAAGCGGAGGAACAAAAAAAGGAGAGTTTTCTGCCCTTGTCAACACGGGTAGATCTATTCATGTACATACATCTATCTGCATCTGCATCAAACTTCACCATAGCTTGGTTGACCTGGTTCACCGGTCTGTCTGATCTATGGTACGAAAGTAGATACCTCGGTGACAAACCCCCATGAATCTGCTCCTGATTTTGGGCCTTGCCTCTTCTATTATTGTCATGTTGCTCCTTCTGCCTCTGCTATTATTGTTCCTGCTGCAGGTGGCTGTCGCAGCATGTCTCCGATATGCACATCTCGCTCGTTGGAACCCCGCGCCTGATTCAGCGAACAGGAGCTTGGCGAGCTCGTTTGCTTTATTGGTGCTGGAGATCTCGGTGGTCTTCCAGACCATTGCCGTAATTATCACTTGGTAAGTTGGTGTACAGGTGTAATTGCTACTCTTTCTGGAGGTCACACAGCACGTTTCGGCAGGCATCGAAACTCCAGGTGGAATATTGAAGGTCTAATACAACGCATATGGTTTATCATTCGTGTCATCGCTCGACTCTCACTCGGTCATTTGGCACAACCCGCCCGTGCCCTCCCCCCGGACTGAAATGGACTTCCAGCGTAGGCGCGCTGCAAGGAGGCCTGCTGCTGCAAGTATTGGATTTAGTGTTCGATGTGAAAACCATACACTCCGAATTGCCAACTGCTGCATAAATAAAACGTTTTTATGCATCAGACTACTGACGAAGCTTGAAATACATTCCCTTCGATCTACTGCTGCTGCTGTCGTATTGAAATCGTCTCGAAGAGGTAATCTTGCAGGCCGCGTTAACGAAGTGCCAGCAATCAAAATTGAAAATATAAATATGTCAAAAATAATCAATATCAATCCCTCATTGGTCGGCGAACATATATCTCCCGGCGACGCCTGTTGAACCACGTGTATTCCTGTAAGGGGGATGAAATCCCCCAGGTACGTCATTTAAACCCAGAAAGCAAAGCCGAAGTCGGCTGGGGAGTGGCACGTTCGGTTCTCGATGAGGAAACGTCTATCTTCGATCGTCGCAACGTGGTGACTGATGGTCATGATGGTTGACGTGGTGGTTCGGGCTTCGCCGTGCGGGAGAGGGTAGTTGCAACCATTTTTCTCGACGCTCAGATACCCGAATGCATCAAACCTTGTTTTTAAAAAAGTACAAAAAATGGACATGTGAGCTACCTCGCTTGGAGTGGGATTGGTACTGCTTTTGCTTCCTCCTTTATGCTTGAATTCCAAACCGCAGGCAGACAACCCCCCCGAACCGGAACCAACCGCTCTCTGGCGTTGTTTTTTTTAGGTTCAACGCAATATTTTTCCCCGATACGCACGATATCCCATATCGTACCAACCGTGGGAATGAACGATGGAGCGAAGAGCTGACTCCCGCAGAGTTGTTGTTGTTGTTGTCTTCACATTAAACCGTATGTCAGATGCCAAATGCCAAAATCTAGCAAAAGACTCTCAGCCCGTGGTCACGAAAGTGCTAGAGCCATCTGAGGATCTAAAGAGCACGCACACATGTAACGAGAAAAAGGTATCCAAGAGGCCGAAGAGGTACACCTAAAAATCCCTGCAGCACCGTATGCGTGCCCAAAAACTGAACTGCACGTCCGTCCCACCGTTCGACTACAGTAGCATCACCCCCTCCCTGTCCCACTCTATACCAAAACGGAAGATTGCCGACTACAGCATA